ATAGATGAGGAAAGTGCAAAAATAATCTATAGCCAGATATTGACCTCGATGCGGGTAGAACTACATTAAAACCTACATCAAACCATATCGTACACCAATCTCGCCTATATCGTACATAAACCTATCTATTAAACAAAAATCTCTTTTACATATTAGTAACTGACCCGGCAAACATTGTTCTGCCATATAAATTAAGGTATGAAATATACTTTACGACCTAGTCTAATACCAACCAAATATACATAAAAAAAATTCATAAAAATCGTTTAAGCCATTTCGAAGGAGTACGGCCACAAACATTATGACTATATATATATATATATATATATATATATATATATAGTATATACACAAAAAGTGATACATGTATATATTTTAAATTGAAATGTTTGTAAGTAAAAGCATTAAATTTCAAATCACAAAATTTATATAAAAAAATAATAAACTATATCAACCCATTAGCTTCTTAAATGTAACACTTTGTGATCGAAGAGATATACAAGTAAATAACATTAATAATGCCAAAGAGCAGGTGAGTGGTGAATGGTAAATCCAATAGTTAGATAGAATATCTGCAAAAGAGCTATAATTTTCGTTTGGAAATTTTATAGGTTTATACTAACCATCACTTCGACTTCTGAACACGAGATCTCTCTTATATTTCCCCATAAAATAGCGGCCTCTATGAAATCATCGACTTATTTATTGGAGATGGTGGTACTGCACTCCGTTTGTTTACACGGTCACGCCACTCGAGAATCTATTACTGGAATGTCTAATAAAAAATTTAACAAGAGCTTATCAGTCCTAGATTAATAGAAATTCGCAGAGAGGTTTTAAAAGTACTCCTCGATGCTGGTATTGAAATGTACGACTTAGTATTACAAACAGATTTTTAAATAATCGTATCTTTTTATTGTTTACTCCAAAAGGTTACAGTAGTAAACGTACTATAGACGTACGTATATGCTCATGGTCATATACTGCCATTTCTTACAATGTATACTGGACTAGATAGATACATGGATAGATAGATACCTTCCAGAAGATTGTAATAGAAAACTTATTATAGATACTAACAACTATAAAAAATGTTCACACTGAGAAAACAATGGGCGGCCTTATCGCTAAAAGAGATCTCTTCCAGACAACCTTTGGATGGAGAGGAGTAAAAATCGTAATTTTATTATTTTTTAAAATTTATTTCTACATACCCGTAATAAAGCCATCGCCTAACTTTGATAAATTATTAAGGTAATTTTTTGTAAACGGCATTCCCTATTATTTTTACTAATAGTTAAGTTTCAAATAAAACCTTGTGGTGTATCTATTATATATATCTACAGAAGAATTGTTTCTTCTGTAGAATTATTATTTTCTCAAATTATGTATTCAATTCATTTACCTATATATTTAAATTATAAAAATACTCGTGATATATGAATGCTTACTATGTTATTAAAAACAAGAATAAAATAATGTCACAAAACACTAGGAGATCTATAAGATTACTGTTCATAGGGGAGATATAATTTTTTATATCATTTCACTTACAAGTGAATAGCAATTTTTACTTTAACAATAAGCATTAGTGTTTATAATCGCTTGTGTCATAAATCCTTAAATCTGAGCTCGGGTTGTACGTGAATGGCAACGTAAATCACGTTTGCGTAAAAGTTACGTCACGTTAGTTAGTATATCTCTATGCAAGCTACTGACCCCTGACACTAGTGAAGCGCTTACAAAAGATTAATAGTATCGATACAATCTAGAAATGTTAAATTATAAAATTAATGACCAGTCAACCGTTAGTTAAGTTGATACACTTGCTTTATATTATAAAATAAATCTTACTTTGAATAAAAATACATTTGAAACGCATCTATTATGTTCTAAAAAAATTAATATACTCTCATTAATAATTCCCCCCCTCCAACCCCCCATTTCAACAATTTAAAAGATTTATTCAAAAGTGCTCAGTAAACTTCAATTTTCTTACAACCTTCAAATACCTTTTTCGCCACTTTCCAGATTGGCATTTTAATAATTTCTCTTGTTCCTTCTATGAAATAATAAAATGTTATATTTTATAGAAATAAGTAATTTTGAAATACATCAGTCTATCACATTACTGCTTGTGACCCGAACAAACATAAATAAAATGTTGCGTACATTACGTTTTATCCTAATACAATTTTACACTCTGTTATTTTTTCATCTCCGTCATTATTTATCTATAACTGAAATATCGTTCACGTCTGTAATTATTCTCTTTGATCCTTAGCTGAGACGAGCCATTTTAAATTGTTTTAATCCCAGATATGAAAAGGGATAATAAAAAATTCAAATAGTTTAACATTATTATACCTTTAATCGATTCAATGATATAAACGATTATTCTTTCTTTATTTAACACGAAAGCAATGTAACAGAATTACAATTGTAAAATAATGAATCTATCCAATACTATTGAGTACTTTAGACAAAATCATTAAATTGTTGCCACAGAATTCAACATATTATATTTATTTATGAATTCAATTAATTTAAAGTGTCGTAATTGTGATTATATTAAAGCACAATTACGATAATTTGTAAATTACAGAATTTACATATCGATTATGGACATAAGTTGCCTATGGTGTTGCAACACTATTAGTGCAATATTGCGTACGGCATGGGATAGGATGAACGTTAGTGTTGCCCTCACAGCCAGTGGTGCAATATAATCAAGAATCCAATCCCGTAGAGATTTTTTAATGATGATTATAATTTCGTAATTGTGTGGGTCTTTTTTCACTACACATGGTATGGTGTAAGACCATAAAATTGTGACGTTATGATTGCTTCCAACGACATCATAAAAAATATGTATTTTAAATTAAGAATTAAAACCTTCCATTACGTATGTCTAAATACTTTACAAAATAAGAGAAGAATAAATAGGAAATCGTATTCTTATATTTCAAAGGAGCGTATGGTAGAATATGACTTTGAATGGCCGCTAATGAAAACAACAAGCAAGTACTTGCCACGCTTGGCAAGCGGATTGGCAAACGCAGTTTGGCCTTTAGTGATGTTTTAAGAAAGACACTGCTGCCCATCCTTCGACCATTAAACTCTTTTCGTCGTCTCTTACGACACCCATGAGAAAGGAAAAGATGGTCCATTCTATGCTGGGACCACACGGCATCAACTAATATAAATATATAATAGTTCCGATATCACTTGCGTCAAAATTGTTAATAATAAATATTTACCTAAAGTACCACAAAGTAATATTAAAATCAGAAAAAAAAAGATGTCACTTTTAATGTAATAACCACTGGTTTAACTTAAATTACGAAAAGCTCGCCTAGTTTCGGAATCAATTTGTGATCCTTAGTCATGAGTGGCTGTGACGCGAGCCTAACTGCTTGCCTGAAACTAATCAAGCTTTTTCGATCTAATTACACGTAAATTAAACCGGTTGTTATTAAATTAAAATACAATGTGTGCTTACGAAACTTTTAACAATAAATATGTCACTTTTATTCACCCAAAGCTCCTAACCGCTTAAAACTGCTATAAACTAGTTCTCTACTAATACCACAAAGGGAAATTTTAATGGGAAATAGTTTTAGTTGTGTTTAAACTTCATTAAATACTATCACACTATGCAATCATTTACTTTTGACTTTGTTATTTGAATTATACGTAAACATTATTTAGGATCCGTTGCTTGATTTAAAAGATATGAACAGAAAAATACACAGATATTCGTGTGTATTTCTGTTTCTACTGGTTTGAGCTTTTTTAATGTATAATATTATATTTTACAAATATACCTGTATATATTAAAGACAATTTTAGACAAAATACATAATATATATATATATATATATATATATATATATATATATATATATATATATATATATATATATATATATATATATATATATATATATATATATATATATCGAAGGTCGATATAAATTTGCTATGACGTCATATTGTCCCGGTATAGAATAGGTCACTCCCACCGTGGATGTCGTAAGAGGCGACTAAGGAAACTTAATGGTAGAGAAACGGCAGGGTCTCTTTTAAGACATCACCAAAACCTAACTTCAGTTGCCAACCCGCCTACCAAGCATAACAACTACTAGCAAAACCCCTCTTATGGAGGAGGCCTATGTTCAGCAATGTACAGTTAAAAACTGATATGGTGATGATGATGATGATGATTAGTACAAATAGGTAGTTAGAGACGACTAAGGGAGGGCGAGGGATGGGCAGCAGCGTCCCTTTTAAAACATCTCCAAAGCCTAACTACGTTTGTCAACCCACTGCCAAGCGTGGCAACTACTGGCAAAACCTCCAAAGGGGAGGCTTATGTTCCGCAGTGGACAGTTAAAGGCTGATATGAAAGATTTAAACTGATATAACACACCGTTTTACCTTCCGATGGTTGCGGATTGTTTTTTTTTATACAACTTACAATGGCAAACAAGCTGACGGCCCACCTGATGGAAAGTGGTAACAGTCGCCTATAGACATGAGCAGTACCATGGACATAACAGTACACACACACACACTGTTTCGCCCATGATACTCCCCATGCGTAGCCATTCCTGAGGACTCAGGTGTTATTCCTCTGTGCCCTGTAAATTCACGCCATATCCCACCCTTCAAACCGAAACACAGCCATGCAAACACAACTGCTTCACAGTAAAAACACGAATGGGACAGAGGTAACCAAGCAATCGACTTTTGTACAAAGTCTCCCTCTGGTGATTCGGTCCTCGCACAATATTTAACATTTGTATTCATTAGTATGTCTGTTTATATTAGTCTGCATATTTTCCATGTATGATATGCATGTATTTAAAAAAAAATTAACTATCAATTGTCTAATACTATATAAGTTGTGCTTAATTTAAAACTAGATGGCGTTATGTCATTATTTCTAATGCTATTTATTTATTATATACTTACAGATGTTTTTGTATTGTTCACAGAAACAATGACGTGCCTAGAGCGCAATTTGAACAAAGCCCGTTGTATGTTCATAAAGAATTTGAGGTAAGTTTTCGTTTTAAAATTAATTGCGTTGCTCTTTTATTTCACTTGTTCATTCTCTAATATGCTAATTAAATTCAGAACGTAAACTATTTTTTTTTTCTAAGCAACAACAAATTCTTATTTCAAAATTTTCGATACCTTATCAGATTATTATAAGTGTTCTTTTTTCAAATTTCTGATGAAAGAAACATGAAACCATAGATTAAGAATAGGATCTACGGTCCTCTTTATACGCACGCAACAAATATACAATACGAAATTGAAAAATGCAGATAACAAGGAATACCTTTTTTCCCTTTTCCCTAGAGACTAAAAAAGGATGTATTAAGGTTTGTTCAAGGTCGGCAACGTGCACGTGACACCCTTAGTGTTGCAGGCGTCCATAGACTAACGTCACGGTTCACTTTTAGACAGACTGTACACTTGTTTGCCACTTTTGTGATATACAAAATACCTACTTAGTATTTATTTTATATATCTACCGATTGAAAGACAACAACACAGATTTTATGGCGCATGATTACAGTGTTTATCTGTGGCTTATAAAATTGTCATTGAGTATTCTACACTAATATTATTAAGAGGAAATATTTGATTTTTTTTTATACAACTTAGAATGGCAAACAAGCTGACGACCCACCTGATGGAAAGTGGTAACCGTCACCTATAAATATAAGCAGTACCATGGACATAACAGAGTATACTGCTTCGCCCATGATACACCCATGCGTTGCCATTCCTGAGGACTCAGGTATTATTCCTCTGTACCATGTAAATTCACGCCATATCCCATCCTTCAAATCGAAACACAGCCATGCAAACACAACTGCTTTACGGTTAAAACACGAATGGAACAGAGGTAGCCAAGCAAACGACTTTTGTACAAAGTCTCCCTCTGGTGATTGTTTGTTTATAATGGATGAACTGAAAAACTACAAAACTGATATCAAAAATTCTTTCTCCTATACAAAGCTACATTATCAGCGACTAATATGATTAAGGTTCTTACAAAAAAAGGCTTCACACGCCATTTAATTATATTTGATCTTTGTCATGTAATTCTGTTCCTTATCTTACTAAGATCTTTAATTATTTCTTTAAATTTGTGATTGTACAGTTCGACGAAATAGAGGGCGCTGATGAATGGGAAGTGAGCTGGTCGCGAGTCCACCTCGGTTCGATGATCGGCAGCGGAGCATTCGGTCGAGTCCACGTAGCCCAATTGGACACGGTCAAGGGTGAAACTATCACTGTGGCTGCTAAAATGTTGTCAGGTACACGGTACATTTTTTATGGAACTTAGATCGGCAAACAAGTTAATGGAAAATGGCAACCGTCTCTTATAGATATGAACGCCATTGCACTGAGACGTCTCTTAGAATACACTTCCAGCCCATGGTCATGGGCTGCCATTTCTTACAAAGTATACTGGACTAGATAGATACATAGATAGATAGATACTCTTTATTGTTTCCTTCAGAAGATTATAATAGAAAATTTATTATAGATACAAACAATTACATGAAATTATTCAAAGTGGGAAAACAATGGGCGCTCTTATCGTTAAAAGCGATCTCTTCCAGGCAACCTTTGGATGAACTAGATGATATAGTTAAAAAACTTTATGTTCCTAAGTTATCAAAAATTATAATAATGATAATTTTAGAATCAAAGTCATCCGTCATACTCGTGAACGGGTGCTGCTCGTAGAGACTGGTCTGCTCCGATTACTACAATTAATTTTATTGCTTTGTTTTAATTAAATACACTATATTATAAATTTTATAATCTGATACTGCTTAGTAGTTTATATTCACACAAATTCATCATTTATATAGTTAATTTTATAAAAAAGGACTAGCTGAGTTACTTGCCCGTTTTTCTTGGCTGAAATTATGTTCTGAGTGGACGGTAATAAAAAAAACTATACAAAAATATTGAAACCTAAGCTTACTTGTCTCTTTCTTAAATATCTCTTTCTTTCATTCAGAAAATGAAATTCAGCATACAATTGAAGGCGTCACAGTTTATTCTGTGATCTCCGTGGTGCTGTCATTAGCGACGCTTTTCATTTTTGCTCTTAGCGTTGTTTTCCACAAGCTTACAGCTTTTTTTTTAATTTTAATAAGTATGTAATATACAATAATACTATATTATTAAGTATAATAATCGTAATCATAACATAAAAGAATATCGCCGTGCGGTCCCGGCATAGAATAGGCCACCCCTTCCTTTCCCGTGGATCTCATAACAGACGACTACGGCAAGGCGAGGAATGGGCAGCAGAGGCGCCTCTGTTAAAACATAACAAAAAGCCTAACTGCGGTTGTCAAGCCGCCTACCAAGCATGACAGCTACTGATAAAACCCCCCTTACGGGGGAGGCCTATGTTCAGTAATAAAAATAAGTTGACACTAAATCAATCATACTATTTATGCATTAAATGAAATTTAAATTAAAAATTAAGTATTAATTTTAAATAAAGATACAATTAAAAAGAAGAATGAGCTATTAAATCCAATTTTATTAAAAAACATTAAAAAAAATTGTCCAACAGAAAACGCGTCAGAAGAGGAGATGCAAGATTTCCTTCGAGAGATAAACATGTTGAAACATGTTGGATGTCACAAGCACGTCATTAGATTGATCGGATGCTGTACCAGACGCGCGCCGTTCATAGCCCTACTGGAGCATGCTCCCCGGGGAGACCTTCTGTCGCTGCTGAGGGCTGCGAGAGGGCGACGGAAGGCGGACCAGCATTGCGAGTCTAATGTTACCAGGAGGGTCGACAGCGACTCGACTGTGCCGCATCTCTCTGAGAATAATTGTAAGTTGAACAACCAAGACATATTATTTCTCTTTTCTTTTTTCTTTACTTTTGTTAAATAGTTCTCTTTAAATTTCATTTCAAACTGTTCAGGTAACACACGCCAATATAGCCTTTTCAATTACATTTATTGTGAACGTATATATTTACCGAAAAAAAAATTATCTGTAGTACTCAGAGATAATATACCTTACTAATAGTGAAAGATTTTTCAAAATAAGATCAAAAGCACCGGAGATTACCTCGACCATCCAAACTCACATACTTTACCTCTTTATAATATTAGTATAGATAAACATTAGACTAGATAATATCAAAAGATTAAGACATAGGAACATACTTTGAGATATGATCTCATGGCTAGATACAAGTGACACAAGAACAAACTTAGTGATATGATATGGAGGAGTTTACCAATGGACACTTGTAAGTTGTAATGATGACGATGAATTAATGAGCATACTTAAGATAGGTCAAATACTTTTTGCCAACACTGTTGTTGATGTTTCTGATCGAAGATATATTACACAATTTTCACCACCGGTTTTTGCCAACACTGTTGTTGATGTTTCTGATCGAAGATATATTACACAAGACATAGACAATTGTCAATCGGCAGATGACCGCCATTCGAGGTCTGCCAAGGAACCCACATTGTTTTTATTGTATAAAATATAGTAATAAGATAATAAAAACAGTATAAATAATAAGTAAATAATTTCTGATATATAAATTAATCAACCGATACTCTTGAAGTTATTAAAATCATAATAATAACCCTAACTTAATTAACTAGAATGGCAAAGATCGTAAATTTGAATGTAGAACATAGTGAATACAAAAAAACTTACTAAATTTCCAAATTTAGCGTAGCATAGCGTAGTAGTTAGAAATTTAGCGTAGCATAGCGTAGGCCGAATAATAAAAAAGGAATTTGTAAAATTCAATCCAAAAGGGGAATAAACCTAAATATCCACGCATACAAAATCGCGAGCGAAAACTAATTTTCACTAGTGAGTAATTCGTCTCTCTTTTGTTTTTCTATCTTTATTTTTAAGACACTCCTGTGTTAATAATTTTGAAATAAAAATAAAAGGTTTTATTTCTTTAAGACTTAAGAATATTAAAATTATACTTGTAAATTAGATATTCGTTTCTATTATAGTTTCGCATAACGCCTGTACGTAAATTGTAAGCAATTATTTTGTTCTTCAATTTTCAACCGACAAACTTGTAACTAAGGAGTCAAAATAACATCTACATTACAATTACAGTTTATTATTTGTTTTTCTTGTTTCTAAGGAAAACAACATTTGTTTTACTTTAATACTTAAAAGTTTGATTTAATCAATGAAGGTATATTTATCCTATAAAATGATAAAGGTGAATATTTATAAGTGTTGAATTAAAATTTACTTTATGGATGATAGGTTTTTAATGGGTGAAAATTGAATGGTGACTCCTGCGCTAATGGTTTACGCTGGCTGGTTATCAATGAGAGATGATAGGTGAGTATGAAAAGACAAGTTAGTTAGCACATCGTGATGAATACACCTGGACTGCAGCACGATGGCTTTTAGGTGGAACTATGTAGACTCGAACGGAGTATATTGCTAGCAATGGTAATTTGCAATACTAAGAATAACTCCCCACCGCATGGATGATAGTTTACAGATGCCCGCCTTCGCTATCGGTATAACTGGCGGGGTACCAGCGAGGGCTGATAAGTAAAGATGAAGTCAGGCCAATCTTACCACGACGTATTCACCAAAAATTTGCCTGTAACTTATTGAAGGCAAGGTTGATGAAACAGGGTATATGGCTAGCAGCTAGGGTTGCTAGAAGAGAAAAGGAATATTACCGATTAGATCCAGCCCCAATGCTAGTAATATATCCTGTGCGGTCGACATCCTCACGGTCTTCCCTGGAAACCATCGTGCAAAATTCCAAGTAAATTCCTCACTATGCGCTAACTGACTTGCCTTTTCTTCCTCGCCCATCACTCGCCACGCCCTCACTGGTGTCCTGTCAGTGTATACCGTTAATATAGGCGAAGTACCATTCCATTATCACCCATTAAATAAAAAATGGGATTGCCCATTACTAGCAACCTCTCCCCCTACATATTGTCTTAGTTAATCAATGATGCATAACCAGCTGAATGGATTTAAATGAAATTTTGTACACGAATGTACCACATTTTGGATTAACACTCAATACTTAACGTCCTTACATACTTTATAAGCCTTGTCAACGTAAACCCTTGCTCAAACCACGACTTATAGCTAATAATATCTAAATCACATAATGGACTTGCTTTTATCACTAAAATTTCAGTTTGATAATAAAGTAAAATCGTTATTTTAAGAAAATATTAGAAAATATATATAAATAAAATAAAATCTATTGTCGGAGATATGTCCGTACGGTCCCGGCATAGAATAAGCCAGCTTTTTCTTTTCTGAGGGTGTCGTAAGAGGCAACTAAAGGAACTTTATGATATGGAGGAATGGGCAAACAGCATCCTTCTTAAAACATCTATAAACGCCTAACTGCGGTTGGCAACCCGCCTACCAAGCGTGGAAACTACTAGTAAAATTCTCCTATGGAGAAGGTTAATTCAGCATGAATAGTCATCTCTTATGACACCCACAAGAAAGGAAGGGCTGGCTTATTCTATGCCCGGACCATATGAACAATAATAAATATTAGTTTTTATAAATATAATAAAATTTATAGATAGATAGATAGATAGATACTCTTTATTGTTTCCTCTTATTTAATTAATAATTATTAATACAATTTTTTTAAAAATACATAGTAATATTTTGTTTAAAAAAAAAACATAATTAATCAGTAAGGCTCGATTTTTAGATATCTTCGATCCCCAAAATCAGTTTTTTGTTTATATCGACTACTGAGAAACCGATTTCAACCACAAGGGTCGAAATCTACGCCTGATTAGAATGACACAAACTTTATAATATCTTTTCAACAATGTTTCCAGCTGAGTACACAAACATAAGTGACTCGGATCCGACCCTCAGTGAGACCAAGTTGTATGATAGTGAGAAACCGAAGAGCAAGGACCACTACGTAGCTGAACCAGCGCTCCATCTGGACAGCAGCACCATGAGGGACTACGCATTGCAAGTGGCACTGGGCATGAGGCATTTGGAAGAAAGAGGTATCACTCACAGGTAAATATCATTATTCACTGTGTTGATGTAGCAATTTAACATAAAGCCTGACCTTCCGAAGGTTGCAGGTTCGATTCCTAGGCTATGTAGTCCTTTGTGTCTATGAGTGGAAAAAATGCAAAAAAAAAAACGTATATAATATATCCAATAAGGGGGAAGGGATTGTTAGTAATGGCGGGGTTAGTCCCCATTGCTATCAATATACCTTACTAGGTCGACCTCCACGCGGTTCCCCCTGGAAACCATCGTGATTAATTTATCGTTGAATTTGTCACGATGAGCTAACTGACCTGCCTTTTCACCTTCACCAATCATCACTCACTGGTGCTCAGTCCACTGACAGAGCACCAGTGAGTGTATACACTTATACCGATAGCGCAGACGGAGTTACCATTCCATTATCATCCATGAAAAAAAAATCCAATAACAAACTTTGAACAAAAGTAATATGGGTATGGATACTTTTGTCTCCCACATGTTTTTGATGTGAGGCAGTGTTTCTTACATGGCTGTATTTACCTACATTTAAAACATAGGATATGGCAGAGTATGAAGGTATAATTTAGTTTTCAGGTGTAGAAACGTGTCTTATTTTTTTTATGAGTTAATATGAAAGGGTAGCCCCGTCTATACTATAGTATACGCTAAAGATGAAAGCAGGTCAGTGGACCCATCGTGACTAATTCATCCATAATCAACCATGGTGGTTTCCAAGAGGAGTCGTGAGGCTATAATACCGACAATGAGGCTGTTTTTTTAATGGATAATAATGGAATGGCTGGCAGGGCGCGATGGCTTCCAGAAGGGGCTACCTGGAAGTCGACCTAACAGGGTATATTGCTAGCAATATAAGGGGCTGGCAGGCTATATTCCGCACTAACAATCTCTTTGAGTCTTAGATCCTATTACCCCCCCCCCTCCCCTCATGGAAACATATCAGGAATACTATTGGCATCATACTATTGGCATCTTATAGAGATTTTAAAAAAGAAAAAAAAAGGAAAATAAAGATATATTAGAAATATAAATATTTATTATTTATAAATTAGTTTATTATAAATTAGTTGTAAACACAACGAGCGTGTATTGCGCATCTAATGCGTCGTAATCTGAAAGCAGCTTAAAAAAGCAACTTTCAGATAACCTCACCTCTAAAAGTCGCATGGAAATCAATCATTTCGCTCGAGCAACGCCCGAACAAATATATACGAGTAGACGGTGAGAAGAGAAATTATGTTGGCTTCTGCATCTGTTTTTACGTAGCAGGAAGTCTTTTGACTAAATATTTAATGTACCTAAGTACATTGTATGTGTAAAAGGTTGTGACCTTTCCGTGATTTTCTTCCCAACGTAGTTACATAAGCCTATTTTGCACCCAACTGTGATACGGCTTATCCCTTACCTTTTTCTTTCAAAATATAGGTAAACGCCTTGGCTTTTTAACCGACTGCGAACAAGGATGTTGTATTATGTTTGTGTAGCGTCTCCGTAAAGGAGGTTCTCTGATCTACCAGCACACTCTGCGCAGGCGAAGATTCCGTTTTCATCCATTAAAAAAACATAATACTCGTATACTGTTTTGCCTAGTTGATCGCATTCACATTCGCTCAAAGAAGCTCACCTAAATACGAGGAAATTTCCGGGATTTTCCGGGAACGCCTAACGACAGCCGGGATGTCCGGGGCTCCGGGTATATATATTCGGTTTGCTTGCACACAACCCTGCGTATTACATTGTAATAATATGTCACTGGTCTCCTGTTAATACACATAGTGTATTTTCATTTGTGTGGTCGATAGATCGATTAATCTGATGGATGTTTTGGTAACCGTTGGCTACATGAACAACAAACAACCCTGCCATTACAAAATATACTGTATGGTTTGTACATTAAAGTTTAATATCGACTGTGATAATGATAATACTATTAGGATAACATACAGGGATATTCTAGAGTTGAGATGTAAATTTTCCAGATTTATCTTCACATATCTTCTTAAGCTAAAACACAATAACGAGCGACGGCTTTAAAAGAAATAGACAAGAAATAATAATGCTACTTATCCAGACGAAGTTACAAAAATCTTTATCAGCCGATAAGATATTTCTTATTATTACATGATCACGCTAAAACTCTTACTCATTAATATTATTAATTCAGCTGTTAACTGTCCACTACTGGACAAACGCTTTCCCCATAAGAGGACTTTTGGCAGTAGTTGCCACGCTTGGCAGGCGGGTTAGCAACCGCAATTTTTTGTATGGGTGATAATGGAATGGTAACCCCAGCCGCGCTATCGGTATACACCGGCGGGGCACCACTGAAAGATAATAGATGAGGATGAAGCAGGCCAGTTAGCCCATCGTGACGAATTCAACGAGAATTGTTCACGATGGTTTTCAGGGGGAACCACGTGGAGGTCGACCTGATATTGCTAGCAATGGGGCTGTCAAACTCCATTGCTAACAACTCCTGTCCCCCTAGCAACCGCAGTTAGGCTTTTAGAGATGTTTTAAGAGGGACGCTGATGCTCATCCCTCGTCCTCCCTTAGTCGCGTCTTACGACACCTACGGAAAAGGAAGGGGTATCCAATTGTATGCCGGGGCACACACGGGCACTCAGTAATAACAAGATGTCAAATAGGTATCTGATGAAATAAAACACAAATGAAAAAGAGAAGAATCATCAGGAATAGAGAATACTCCCTTTCTAGCAATATAACCTGTCAAAATGATCTTTACTTTATGCACTCTAGAAACAATCATAATTAATTACGCAGCGGGAGATCCCTTCATATAGTAACTCCTATTTATTCTTCTAAACTATATTCCTATTCTTTCATCATCCAAGCTATCAGTCTCTGGAACTCCTTACCTCTTTCCATTAGATTAGTGCAATCTCTTTGCCTCGTTCAAGAGGTAGATAAAATCTCTTTAAATATCTATCTCTTTACTTGATGTCTATGACGTGTTATATACCTTAATTTATTTAGTATATTTATGTTTATGTACTATAATTTTGTCATGTAGTAGTGTAATTTAGTCTTATTTTTATATAAACGATATATTGAATAGTATGCATTTTTTTTATTTTCTATTTTTGTATTAACTGTAACTGACTTGCGACATCTACCTTTCTTTCCGTACTTATTTACTATTTATGCCACGTTGTTTGTAAGAGATTGCTTTTAGCGGTAAGTCCGCCTTGTGCACATTCTGTATATATCTCTTTTGAGCGCAATAAATAGTTTATTATTATTATTAATTCTTGTTGAAATCGTCACGACAAAACAATGGATCTGAAGTCATCTTCACCCATTATACCTCATTGGTACCTCGCCAAACTAAACCAATAATATAGGCAAATGCACCATTTTAATCTAAAAATAAATGCAACGATAACGCAAGTATTTCAATTTATATAAACACTAACTTTTAGCAAAGACTAACTTTGAGCCAGCTCCCATATCCCAGTCACGCAGATCAACTGCGTGACTGGGATATAGCCGCTATAGAAAGTAGCTTACGTCTTTTTCATATAAGTTATGTATAAAAAAAATCCACAGTGATTGGTTACGCCGCTTTGGTGCTTTGTCCTTACAAACAATAAAAAATAACTTATTTTTACATTTATAATATTGAGTGTATCGCCACTAAACCACTAAACTACTCGCCTTAATTTTACAAAAGCCATTTATTAATAGAAAATCCCTCCCGTAACCGTTTCGTAAATACCATCTCCACTCCTATGTGGAATTATATTTGTAATACAATAAATTCGCCGAAAATCCTATAAACGTTAAGTAAATAGAAATTTAAAGTACATATTTCTAATAAATAACATTCAGAACTCCGCACCGCTGAAGCAAGTTAATAACACAAATATAATTTATAAGATGGGAGTCGTTGAAATTTGATCAATAAATAATTAACGTAGAAACAGATTGAACAAGGTGGCTAGAACAAAACACTCGCGGTGGGCGTTCTAAATTTTGTGGATGTATTTGTTTTTTTACGAGATTAAGTCAAGCGTGTCCTTTACTGTCAACGTATCGATTGAGAAGGGAAGTGACTGGTGATATTACATATATCCTAATACTTTATCGATAGATACGTTTTCGCTACCTCGAGGATGATATAGAATAAGACAGAAATATCTAGCATCTTGTTCTTTCCCAATCGAAAAAATATGTAGTGAAAGATCCAAGTGGTTGGTCACTAAACAAAATTGAACAAGAAATACTAGATGGCGTTAGAATCGAAACTTGTGGCTTTAGTTTATTACTTTGTAATTAAAGATAATTCGAAGTAATATTTCTAAATTGGCGAATAGTTTTTATTATTAAGGGCGAATGTAAAGTGGCAGATTATAGGCGATCTTATCCTGAATAAGTTATAATCCACACAATCGCAATGATTCTTGTTAGTATGTGTGTGTTTTTTTACAAAGTTGTAAAATACAAGAGAATAGAGACAAATATTACGACAAATTATTACTACATCGTTAAAAAATAAATAAAACCCCTCGCCAATTTAGTAAATTTGTCTTAAATTGTCTTTAATTACGTAATAATAAAAAATCACAAGTCTCAATTCCAGTGCCATCTAGTATATCTTGTCTTATTTTGTTTAGTGACCAACCTTAAAAATACGAATGTGCAGATGAGACGTAAAGTAAGGAAGTGAAGTAAGTGCAAACGATTTTGTAGAAAATACGCTTATACATATAGATTTATATCAATAGCAAAAAATATCAACACCATAATATGTACTACATATATTTTTATATAGAAAATAGAACAGGCTACTCGCCCGCTCTGCTGTTATATTCTAATAAGACACCAGTGAAGAATAATCAGTAAAAACGATATCCAACTTTTTTTTTAATGTATGATAATGGAATGGTAACCCCGCCTATGCTAACGGTATACACTGGCAGGGTACCAGAGAGGGATAATAGATGACAATGAAAAAGCAGGTCAGTTAGCCCATCGTGATT